TTTTGAGATTTGCAAAAACTTGTTTGCAGACCTGTAACAACTTTTTGCATGTGTATTTATGGCCATAAATAAGCCACATTGTCTATCATCACAGTGAAACTTTCATGTTTGTAAAGATATGTGCTTCATATGCATGTAATTAAGCTAACCAATCAGCGTTAAGGTAGTTACATGATTGTATTTAACTGTTCATCGTTAGTGTTTAACTGTTCATCGTTAGTGCAAATGACGGTATTTGACATTTTTTACCGGTAAAACAAAATTACGACTCGATGGTGCAACAATCTCCCCTTAAATAGGAACGCGTACTCCCCGCATCGCATTTCATTACGCGTGCGCGGAGTGTTCTTTCTTTTGCTGAAGTCGACGAGAAGGTCGCAAAGATGCCTGTGAGTCGCCTCAGAAAATTACGTTTTATTCTGTTGTTTGACGATTTTTTACTGTAACTTTGATATAGATGAACGTGTTGTGTTGTCGTTTAGTATAATGTGTGAAATTTAGACGAATTTCGGTTGTGTATTTGTTTTTATTCAATTTTTGCCCCAACACGTTTGAACACAGATTCTCGGTCACATGGTGATTAAATTTGTGATGAACTGGATATACATCGAATAACAGTTGTCTACGTTTTACAGATTTTTTATATATTATTTAATGTTTTTTCATTGAAGTTCTTCAGCTTAAATTAATTAGTTTCAGTTTTTGCTAATCGGTGCCATTTTGCTGACGGTCAATTTTGCACAAAATGATCAAATCTATAGCAAAAATAGCTCGATTTAATAATACATGCTAAGATTTGTCAGACCAATTTCAGGTTTAATTCAATGTTACAATATGAATGTGTCTGATAATATTACGATCCAAGCAGTTATTTATATTGGGTCATTCCAGAAAACATCCATACCACCCCCACGGAGGAAATTGGATGTCCTAATACATTTACTATTATCAGAAACAATTTTGTCCCCCCTCCGGACGGCAGAAATTTCCTCTGTGGGGGGAGTGTGGATCTTTTCTGGAACGATCCATTTTAACAAGTTTTAAGGTCGATTTACCTCGTTGGTAGGATGCAACTACCTGAAAAATACCAAGTGAAATTTGACGTTTCGAGCGAAGGCCCTTCGTGGGGAGGTGGCTTATAACTTCCAGACGGGCCTTTGCTTGAAACATTGAATTTCGCCTTGTATTTTTCAGGTAGGTGCATCCCTACCAACGAAAGCTTGTTATTATTGGCACTACCTGCACTGGTACAGACTGTTCATGATTTACAGCACACAACTTCGCATGCAACCTGCTTACAACTGGAGTTGTACTTTGTAAATCAAGTGCACAACTCGCTTGTAACATTGCTGTAAGCAGGTTGCACGCGTCAGTCTTGGGCAAAAGTTATGTGGTGTAAATTGGCCTTTGCAATGCTCAACAAAACCTGAAATTAGCCTGACAAATATTTGTAGTAGGGAATTGAAGACAGGGTTCGAATTAGTGGCTTGCTATTTGCAAACGCAAAATCATCCATTGTAAATGAAGAATATGGCTACAATTTTGCTACGAAACGGCCGCCATTTTGTTTTTCGCAAGCAGTGTTAACACTTTTCAAAACTGAAATTTCCTTCAAATTTTCAGGAATGAAATTTGCAAAATCGACTCTTCCTGTCTAATTCGAACCCTGCTTTATATGTGCTCATCGCCTACTATTTTGCAAACTAAACCTTGGAAAGGATAAAGAATGAGTGCATTAATGTCTGGTTCGATTGGTGTCATTAGAATTCAGAGGATAAATTGGCTACTCGCACTCTGCAATTTATGAAGCATTTCGTAGATTTTCTAAAGTAAAATTTGTATGCAAAGCAAATGCAAAGCAGGCCTCGAATTTCCCTGAAATCAATCGACAGCAATGGCGTTATAAATTGCCGTAATTTTCAAATTACTGTAATAAGAATTTAATTTTATTGTTACTTTGGATTTTTGACAAGCTAAGAACATGCCTACGTATTTCTTTAGTGTTTTTTTTTCGAAGAAAACTGAGACTAAAATAGTGATTTACGCATGATTTGATCAACATCTGAATTCAAGTATCAAAGTAGTAATGTACAGTGAATAGTATAAAATTGCACTATACGGCAAAAAGTTGCTGTCGTTTCCGCAATGATCCACAGCATTTTGTTTTCCCTCTACGGCAATTGCTGCGATAAAATTCGAGCCCTGATGCAAAGCAATTTGTAACAGTTACTGTAACATGCTCTTTCTGTCGTACATTTGCTGCACACATGTTTATTTTGTTCTGCAAACTCGTCATTCTATCATTACAAAAGAACAGTAACTGGGAATAGCATTTGACTTGTCTTTCGATAATTCTGTCATTATTGTTTCTACTTAACATTGAACAACATTGAAAATTTCCGGCCCATCTACACGATATGACTAGTCGTATACGATTCTTATCCTGGCATATGTATTCGAATAAATGTGTGTAAAGATGTCACATTTTAAACTTTGCCATAAACTGATGAACAGAAATAGTGGCTTCAGCAATCGTTTTCATGCGCCAGGATAAGAATTGTATATGACTAGTCGTATCGTGTAGATGGACCTTTAAGTCAACCAATCCTTAATCAAGAATTAATGTAAACTTAAACCTTTTTCAGATATTAGAACCATTGGGAAATTATTGGTTATTCAATACCTAATGTCTTACAGATTTTGTTAGTAATTTGAAATGCACCTGTTTAAATATTAAACAAACAAACAAACAATCTTAATACACTCATAATAATTTTATAGTTATACAAAGATTTGCTTCACCCAACTGCGGAGGAAGAGAAAAGGAAACACAAATTAAAAAGGCTTGTACAGTCGCCTAACTCGTACTTCATGGATGTGAAGTGCCCAGGTACCTAATCAAAATTTTCTTTTTGGTGAAGGGCTATTTATATGAAAACTAAGCTGGCATGGCTTCCACACAAATCCAGTAAGACTAACTCTGGGAAGTAGTTCTCACGTTTTGTGAAGTAAAATTCATATGAAAACTGGTTTTGTAATATGGTTGAAATTTTTTCTAAATATTCACAGAATTTGCAAATGGCTGCCATTTTGTCAATGTTTCTACTTCAAAAGATTTTGTGACATTTCCTTAAAATTATGAAAAAAATTGTGAATCGATTTTTTGTCTAATTCACACCCTGACTAACCATTGTCATGTTGAAAGTAGCCTCAATGTTTTTTAGAGTGGAGCAAAGGAGTGCAGTACAATGCAGTACTTGTTTTTGCAGTTTATCTGTTCACCAAAATTTCTTCAAGAAAAATTGATGTTCAGTATTTTGAAATGTTTTAGGTTGCTATAAGATAACCACAGTATTTAGTCATGCCCAGACAGTTGTCCTGTGTGTCAGTTGCTCGACTGTTTTGTGTCAACCTACTGGAGGCAGAGCAAGATTGACAGAAGGTGGGTATTTAGCTTTCCATTGGCTGCAAGGATGGGATTTTATTCCAGGGCGATTGTATTAGTTTTGACCTTCAGACCTTATCAACTTATCCCCCAAAAGACAGATAATTTGTCAAGAAGAGCTACCATTTGTGTTCAACCTCGAGGCTTGACGATTTTATCACATACGTTTATGTTTCAAACGTTACACATTTGAACGCCAAACGTGTCAGGCTTAGTAATGTAATGCACGTTGTGTGCATAAAAATTACTGGACAATTTTGTTCATGTGCATGCCAGAAATTTTCCATATTTTTAATGTTACTCTCGTAATATTGCAAGTTAAAATGAAAGATATACGTAAAGATAAAAAACATATTCATACTTCGCTACAAAAGTGGGGAAATCTAAGTTTTTTAAAAATGTTGTAACTTTACTGGTTAAAGGTGCACATCTTGTCAGCAAATGTTCACATTTGAAACGTATACAAACGCGGTAAAATGAATAAATCTTCATGGTTGAATGCAAGTGGAATATCTGAAAGTCCCCCCCCCTCGCTAGAGAAATCTGCACCCCAAAAATGTAAATGCTCATTGGATTGAATGACAGTAGTATGATTGAAATAAGGATTTTGAACTAAATAAGATAAGTAGCGATTGTACTTCTCGCACCCCTGCTGCAGCTCCTCAGTGATACTATTTTCCCCTCGCTCACCTCCCCCCTGGAATTTTCGGCATCAGGGAGCAAAATCTTAAAATCCATCTATGATTAATTGTGCCATAAATAACAAAATTTTTAGAAATCACTCTCAAAATTACATTACAAAAATTACAAATCCTGGAAAGTCCTTGAATTGGAAAAAAATTCCAGGACTGAAAAAGTCCTTGAAAATCAGTAGACGTCCTTGAAAGTCCTGGAATTAATTTCCTTAACCTCTAGCTGTGCCAACATTAGTGATTTTGATTAAAATTACTGAATAAAGCAAATTATTTTCAAAGATTTTTCCCAGTTCTAGGTCCTTGAATTTACTGAAAAAGGGCCTTGAAAGTCCTGGAAAAGTCCTTGAAAATCACCTTCACCAGATGGTGGACACCCTGTTGTCATTAATGTCAAAACATTCCAGGTTGCATGCATTAGCTATTTTTTTAATTTTGTTTTTCTATTTCTTTCAGGCTGTTCATTCAGGAGGAAACAACAGTAAATAGTCATTTAATAGAATGTGTGATGTTTATATTGTAATAAAACATTAATCACCATCAGCTGGTTGTCTTTTTTGTGCTGCACACAATTTGAACTTCAATCTGCTAGGTATACATTGCGCTTATTTTGATACTGCATTCCTTGTAGTGGCCTTAAGTTTCGACAATTAAAATGAGTTCACTCAAAATTAAAATACAACCGACGACTGCTTTCGAAGTATTATTTATAAATTCGAGCTCGGGAACGTCGCGAAGTTATAACATTGAGTTGAGGACCTGATATTCCGACCAAGTTTTTGCGAAGATTTTGACCATCTTTTGAAAGGTTCAGGGCCTCTTTTACAGTAAGGATGTGTAACTGGAGGGAACATATTTAGTGGGGGACCTGGAGAAGTTCCAGTCGGCAAGTCTGTATCACTGCAGCTACCAGCATATATATGCATTGTTTAACTAATAAGTATACGTCATAGGGCAGCAGATCAGGCCGTAACTAGGATTGGCAATTGATAAAACTAGAATAGTGAAGCGAATAGTGCGAATAGTCGACGAATAGTGCGAATAGTCGACG